AATAATAATAATAATAATAATGGAAATAGAGGGCATAGGAAGCACTGTAGAATCTTACCTCTCTATCACCAATAATAATAATAATAATAATGGAAATAGAGGGCATAGGAAGCACTGTAGAATCTTACCTCTCTATCACCAAGTCACCGTGACAGTGGTGGGACCTGAAACTCAAACGATGTTCATTTCTACATTTATTTGCTTTTTTGAAAACTTTGGTAAACATCGCCCAAGTTAGTTGGGGTTTCTGTGTCAAACTCCTAAAATATTTTTAAATAACATTTAAGAATACAACTTTATGCTTGTCTTGTTCCTAAAAAGCTGCTAGGAGCCACTTCTAACAAAAGGTCCCAGAAGTTAACAACATAAATTAGCCTAGAGAAATATTGCAAAATGATGTGCATATATATAGTTTGTACACATATGTCTATATAAATTACATACAGTATTAGCAAAATAAGCTATCTATTAATTTTTTACTTGAAGAGTATAATATTGGGCAAACATTAAGGAAGGGATGACAAGACTTAAAACGATGAACTATAAATATCTAATTAAAAAATACTGTGCCTGCTGGACTTGAGTAAAACACTGTACTCCTTCATCCCATGTTTAAATAATGTTAGTTGCCCTAGTCAACAGCTTTCACCATAGGACCAGATAATTCATTTCTCCTATAGCCACATCTCTGAGGTCAGAAGACAAAAACGACAAACAGCATGCAAGAAAAGTTTACTCCACTGTGTCTTAAAAATCTGTAGACAAGAGAGAACAAGGGTAAGTTTAGTCTGTTTATCGCATGCTGGAAATTAAACTCAAAGTCATTTCGCATCCATCTCCTATTTGTGGTACATGTACACAGCTTGCACTGCATGAAACTGACACTAATGTTGGCAAAATACAACCAAGCTCCCTTTCTGACATGTCAGATAGATTTTTTTAAAAAATTCGAGCTCCAAGAACTCATCTTGGAGCCTGGAGCTCCTGCAAGCCATCAGCTGGTTTTAATATCTCTCCTGCAGCTGCTAAAATGCTAATTTCAACCTGTAAAGATTTCTGGGCCCCATCAGTCAGCATGTCTGGCGATCTTCACAGTCCCAGATTACAGGAGACAATGCATCTAATAGGAAGAGGGGTTGGGGACGGTGAATACCTTCATGATAGTTGCTTCCAGAGAAAGGCATGCAAGTCTAATTTTTAATGGTAAGAATCACTTACTCTGTTACAGCGGTGCTGCTGAAGGAATTATCCTGAAGGCTGAAACAGAAACAAGAAAACATGAGCCAAATCCGGCGGGGGAGCCGTCTCCCTGATTGCTCTCCGGGAGTTAGAGCACATACACAAACATGGCATTGCAAGGCAAGTCTCAGGGCTTGCCCGACACGCTCGCTCTACCTTGGGCTGCTGTCTGCACATGCTCGTAACGACACCCCCAGCAGGGGCCCAGCCGCACGAGCGAACCACAAAGCCTGGCAGCCGGCAGGGCTGCGGGGGACAGAGCCGGGCGGGGCGCGCCGGTGGCCCAGACCCCAAGATCCAGCAAAGAGCACCTGGAGAGTTACCCCCACGACCCCAACCTAGCCAGGCTCGGCGCCT